TGTATCTTCATATAATCATAGATATATGTTTTAAATAGCTTATTGTCTTATAGTAAGAGAGTCATGTTACTTCATGGTAGCTAATCATAAAACCAGAAATCTGGTGGCAACTTTTCCGACTAACTTATGAATTTAATAAAATCTATTATTCAGAAAAGGTGGTACCAGATTTCTCATTTTTACCCTCATCTTGGAATCTTAACTGTCATTATGTATGTGTCAACATCTGAATTTGAAAAATCCTTAAGTGAATGATTTCCGTGGTCTTTAAAGTTGAATAATTTGAAATTATGTGTTGAAAATGGTGCTTAGACATGACAATATTCCTCAAAATCAAGATTTCTGTTGCATAAAAATATAAATACAAGCTATTCTAGTTTATCATAGAATTCTGCTGCATTTGTTTAAGACATCTTAGCTAGGATTACTGACAAGTACATGTGAAAGAAATAAGTCCTTAAGGTCTACCAAGGGCAGAAATACATCTGGTTTTTTTATAGTCATGCAGCATAGTGCAGTATGTTCCTAGTTTACATTTAATTCCTGGCTGACAAGTGTCTGTTTTTCATGCCTATTCATTAGTCACCCTTGTATTACCACTGCCTTGAAGGCACTTCACCTAACTCTTATCACATTTTGCAGAACATGATAAAAGATATCCGTTAGCTTTACCCATAAACAATTTCCATCATAGTAAAGTCCAGCAAAGGTACCAGAAGGATATTAAGTGACCATTTTTTCAGGGGGAAAAATCGCTATGGATTATGAATTTAAATTGGAAGTGATAAGGCAAAATAAAATGTGATCTTAACTGGCAAAGAAATGTCGTCCTTATTCAAATGTAAAAGAAATACACGAAAAGAGATAACCTGAAGGAAAAGGAGAGGCTATTTGTTAGAAACCCACTACATTATTTTATTTGATATTTTAATTCCCGCGGTTCTCAGAGATATAATTGTGTGTTTTTGTAAGATTGAGACTTCCTATAGTCTATTATTAAATGGAATAGATTAACTCAGAAATCTGATTGCTTCTTGTGTTCCTAAGTTGAGGGCTTGAAGATGTGTCTTTCTCAGGTGTTGTGACAGATGGCATGCTGGTTAGGGAGGATATGTCTAACACACCTTGAAAGACCCAAACTACGGAACTATTAAGATGCACTGGATCAATATTTTAATAACAAGATTTCTGTATGTGAAATGACTTAGTGTTCAGTCAACCACCTTAATTTTAGTGAATTTAATGCCAGGATATTTTTAAATTATTAAAATTATTTTAATGAAAATTAATGGAAGAACTGTTGATGAGTTCTCTGATAAAGTAAATATAAGTAAGGTGAGATTGAAATGCATATTTTTAAAAAGAGAACTTTGGTTTGTTTTTAATTTATGCCATGAACAATGAGTTGAATCTCACTGTTGTTTGGAGGTTTTCAAGCACAGGTTTGTATTTACAGAAACTTATTCTGAACTTGGCTATATGCAAGCTGATGCACCTTTCAAGAGTTTTACACTGAAGTTCCTAGAATTCTCCATAGCATCTCCGATTTCCCAACACAACTGTAAGGTACCAGTTTTGGGGGAAAGTACTTTAGATATGCAAATACATTCAGTTCAATAATCATAACAGACTACATGAACCCTGGAGGGGAACATTGGATCTGGATTTTAAAAGTTCCAACAGAAAATGGGGAAAAAAATCAACTTCCAATGTTGATTTCTACACTGTAAGCAATTCTTTCATTAGATAAATTGTGGTAAAAAAATCATACCTTCCTTTTAGACCAGGGATCCACAACCCCTTGTCTGTGGACCAGTACCGGGCTGCGGCATGCCAGCAACCAGGCTGCACAAACAAGCAAAACCCCATCCATGAGATGCAGGCAGCACACAAAACCCTGCACCCCCCGGTTCTTGGAAAAACCTCTTTCCACAGAACCAGTCCCTGGTGCCCAAAGGGTTGGGATCTCTCTTTTAGACAAAAAAGAGGTTTTATTTAGCACATGGTAGGCAAAAGACTGGAATCACAGCGAGAACATGACTTCTGCATAGTACACAGACTTGTAGTTGTACATCAACAATAAATTTACTAATCTTCTTACCTCTTTTTTTGTACTTGTTTTATATATAATGGAATTGCCTCCAATAAGCATATTTCACAGCTAACCAGTGTCTGTTAATGTAGTGGATTAGTGGACTACCATTCTAAGTTCGCAAAAGGAAGCCACCAACAAACTCTGCTGCCTTGTAAATACACAATTACACCCTTTCTTTAAAAAGGGTATTATTCACTTGATATTCTCCAATGGGTACTTTAAGGACATTGCAGCTTATTGTGCCAGTTGATATTAGACGTCTATTTAGTTTATAGATCACTGACTTGGTGGACAATCCTGGTGTCATTTCAAGTGTTAAAACCACATCATTCCATGCTGATGGCAATAAAGAAAAAGAAAAGAAACTCTTTCAGAAGTGTGTGTATGGGAAAATGTTATCTGTGTTACCTGTGTCAGTTTTTTCAGCAGACAGAAGATAGTTTTGTTAGGAAGCAGTAACAACAAATTATCACTGCTACAAGTTAATAAAGCTGTTTCTAGAATGATTCCTTCGTAAACATAGTATGTTAGGAACAGAGAAGATTAAAAACTTGTACGTTAAATTCAAGTTTAAATTAATGCTTTAGAGAGCTAAAACCAGACTCCAAGAACTAGCTTAGATTTTTATCTGTTCCAAGTATACTCCTTTTTCTTTCACTGCAGTAAATATAAATGTTCCTAGTTTATNTTCTTGCTAGTTGTTCATTTCTCCATTGACACTGCTGACTGGTTGTAGCAATGAATGCTGCAGTGCAGCAATTTGTATCATGGGTACTGAACAACACATACTGTAGGTATTTGTCCCGCTGGAGCATTTGTCCTTGTGCCTTTCTGCTCACACATATACAAAAATACTGTCAATGACATCATAAAGAAAAGTACCTGGGCAAAATAAAATTTCTTCTAGCTAAGCACTGACCGAAAAAGGAAAATATTAAAAGTGGAGGTGAGTCTCAGGGCATAGGGTAAGGGTGCCACTCTGTCTATGTTGTCATTTGCAATCCAAGGCAATTGCTTTATTCTTTATGATGGTTGGGCCAGTTCTAAACAATGAGCCCCTTGAACTTAACTTAACTTAACTACTATCCATATACCATTGAATCCTATAGAAAAACTGATCACAAAGTGCTGCACTTTTTCTAACCTAAACTTACAAATTCAGACAATGACTAGTAAGGAGGAACTAGTAAGAAAGGAAGTAGTAACCCAGAAAACAGAAGGAAAATTAGAAGAAACGGATCCAAAGATGGAGGACCTAAAGGAAGGAATTAACAGACAGACACAGAAAAATGAAAAATTAGAAGATGCAGTGATAACATTGGAAATGGAAAAGATATCTTTACTTGTCAAGATCTCAGAACACATTTGAGGATAAGGAAGAAGAGCTGATTGAATGGATGATAAAGCTGTTAGGAGAAATACTGAATATTGACAAACAAGAAATGAAAAGAAAAACTGAAGGAGAAGGATGGAGGCTGTTTAATAAATATAAATGGGTTGAGCGTTCTTACAAAAATACTTCAATCAAATTGTCTTCCTCATTCCAAACAATATATATAAAAAAACAGAGGAAGAATTACTTGATGATTCAAATGCACTGACTTGGAAAGTTATTTGGCAAAGGAAGAAAGCTAGAGTAAGACTAAAGAAAATAGAGGTTTTGACCTATTAGATGGGATATTATACTATTAAACAGATGTTTGAATACGGTTAAGAGAATAGATAACTGTCAGAAATAAAAGTATTATAATTAGAAGGATAGGATTTATAACTAGAATATTATACTTTGTTATGAGATGGGAAATATGAAAATTCTAAAAGGATTTGAATAAGAGAAGCTTTTGTTACCCAAATATAATTTATTATGAGAAAATTATAAGCGATAGAGATATTTTGAACATTGATGGGAAATTATTATTTTTTTAAAGTGGGAAAACAAGATGTTTATTGAACAAATGGATTTTAAGTGCAAATGCAATTGAGATATGTTTTGGCTAGAAAAGATATTATAAACTGACACTATCAATATTATGTATAATACCAGAAAAATGTGATGAAGATGTCTATATTTAATTGTATATGAATTAACAGTAATAAGAATTGTATTTGCCCAGTGTGGAAAAACGCATACCACCAGAAGAAGAGAGGATCAAGGAAGCACTGGATGGTGTAGTATTGGAACTAGACTGAGAAAGTTAATATGTACCATTGAATTACCAATGGACCCAGACAACATGTTGTTTATTAAGTACTCATGATTGTAAAATTGGAAAATTAATAAAATATTTATATAAAAAAGCCAAAGAGCAATTTATCCTCAAACTGCCTTAGTCCTTAAATCTTTCCCTCTCCATCTCTTACTTTGTCTGGTACAAGTAATAACTGGAATTCATTCCTATAAAGCTAAGTGCAGAGCAGTAGGAGCAAAACATATTGCCTAAGATACTACTCTCCATTAATAAGGTAGTCATAGCAGGGTATAATGGAGATATTTCATTAAAAATGCTACTTTTCTTGATACATGGCCATCACATCACCTTAATGGTTGGTGCTTTACTGGTATTCTAATTAGGAAAGGCTGGATCAATCATATTCTGGTCTACACCAGTTCAGTCTACTGAACCACAATTCCATTCCATTTATTTTTGCAACAAATCTTCCTTCCTTCCTTCCTTCCTTCCTTCCTTCTTTCCTCCCTCCCTCCCTCCCTCCCTCTCTTCCTCTCTCCCTCCCTCCCTCCCTTATTTTTTTTCTTTCTTTCTTCCTTAGAAACAGTCTCTCAAAACTTAAGAACTGCAATCCATGTATTAGTCCAGGAGATACAATTTCAGAAGTTTTGTTTCAAAATCTCTATCTTTAACCATAACAAATAATATAAGTAAATACGTTTTTTCTCCCATCCTAGATTTACGGAAAACTTTTGAACAGGAACCATTAGGAAAGGAAGTATCTTTGGAACAAGAAGTCCTACTCCAGTGTCGCCCACCTGAAGGAATCCCAGTGGCTGAGGTGAGTGACAGGAGTCTTTGAAGGGTGGGGAACTGATGCTGTTATGCTGAGACCTAATGGCTAATGGTGCAGTGAATTAGGTGATGGCATGATAAATGGAAGGTAATGGACATGTAACTGCCTGCTGTTGGTAGAATAGATTGATTGGGAGCTGATTAATGACTTCAGAGTCAATTAAAATGCCCCACTAGGTAGAATTACAATGGGATGCTTCCTTCCACTCTTATGCTTCCTGTGATGAAACAAGAACACGGCTAACATTAGTCTCTTAAGACAGGCACCCGTAGAATGTACGAATATAACTCTTTCTTCCCCCACCAGGCCATGCCAACATTCTAATACTGAGATAACCAGCTTTCATATATATTATTAAAATAATTTTAATGCTGCATTTAGTTTTACAGCTATGATTATACATATGGTGACTCATTTAAACTGCATCACGATAAGTATGCACCTGCTGTGGTCTGATAAGGATCTGGAACAAAGGAAAACTATAATCCATCTTTTAATGTTCCATGTCTGTTTTACTTAACAGCAATTAAAAACACATGAAATAAGTATCTTGATATCTGTCTTGAGGAAGTGACCCTACTGAGTAAAGGAAAAAGCTATAAATGTTCTGACTAGGGAGCCCATCTGTTAAGAAAAGACCTGCCCTCCAAACTTGGAGGTCGTGCTGCTTTTAAAAATGCTTGTGGACGTTCTTTTAAATTGGACTTATAAACTTAGATTTCTTCTACTTTTTGAATAGAAGTATATAATACTTGTTCTATATTGAATAAATAAAGGCTTTATAATACAGTTCATAGTAAAAACTTTCTACTGGTTGGAACTATTTGGTGGGATGCCACACCAAGTGACTTTTGAACATTTGCTTCAAGGCAAGATTTAGAAAACCTAAAATATGTTTTAAAAAAAGCATTACATATTAAGCTACAAATATATCTATTGCCATATTACATAATTTATCTAATATATCTATCAGCTATTCTAATTCCAGATAAAGATAAAGGTTCTTCTGGATATCCAAATCACTATAACTATAATATATATTTCTCTTTTTGGCTTTTCCTCTTATTGGTTATGATAATCTTTTGATAAGGGAGTCCTATGATATATCTTGCTTTTCCTAAAAGTTTTTAATGCTTTCTGATTTCATGGATTTCTAGTTATTGGCTAAGTAGCTACAGAAAAGTATATAGGAAAAGTTATGCATTTGTAAACTAGTATTAGCAATATACCATTAGAGTTACAAGAAAAGTAGTAAGGAGGGAGGTATAAGTCTACTAACAGAACTGGCTTTATGGAGACTTCCATTGGATTTCCTGAAATTCTTCCCAAAGTGAAGAATTCACTTTGGAATATGACACCTGATATGCTGTGGAATTGTGGCCAATTATTTGATTTATTACATATCAAGTTCTATCTAGGGGAGAGAGAGATGAAGAGAAGGATTCCCTATCATTTTATCCCATAATTACCTCTATTACTAAAACTAAAGATGGATTTGAACCTAGCTTGCCTCTGTGGTTGAAACAGATGTTGCTCAATTGTATAAAAATATATGCATATTTTCCTACTTTACCTGGTCTGTTTTTGGGTGTAGCAGTGATTGGAAAATAGGAAGATTATACTGAGTTGAGATCTACTGAAGCGAGTGACTGCTGGTGGATTGCATTTGCGTATATTCGGACATGCTGTTATTACAATAGCAGCACAAAGGAAGGTGTATAGTTAGAAACTACACACCAGTCTCAAAAATTAAGAATACTGAATAATAGAGTTGGAAGGAACCTTTGAGGGCTTCTAGTCCAACCCCCTGCTCAAGCAAGAGTCCCTATATCATTGCAGACAAATGACTGTCCAATCTCATCTTAAAAACTTCTGGTGAGAGTACCCTCAACTTCTGAAGGGTAAACTGTTCCAGTGATTAATTGTTCTCAGTGACAGTAAATTCCTCTTTAGTTCTAGCTAGATCTCTCCTTAAAAAGTTTCCATCCATGACTTCTTGACCCTTCTCTTATCTGTGACAGCCCCTCATATATTGGAAAACTGCCATCATGTCACCCATAGATCAGAACAGTAAATATAAAATCTGGTCTGTCTGTCTGTCTGTCTCTCCCCTCCCTCCCTCCCTCCCTCTCTCTCTCTCTCTTTCTCTCTCTCTCTCTCTCTCTCTCTCTCTCTCTCTCTCTCTCCTGATTTCTTAAAACAGCAGCAGATAAATATAATTACATGGTTAATGTATTTTACTCCTTTTCCATTTTTATTTTATAGACTGGTGCAATGAGATTAATAATTTAATGCAGAGATAGGTTGGAAGCCAGCGTTGTGATAACGGTAGAATTAATCAACTAGTATTCTCAAGAAGAACTTATCAGTTTCTTTGCTTCTGAATTGCCTAACAACCAGCTGTTGCATAGTGACAAGAATATTTATAATGGGGCACGTCATATCGCAATTGCATGATGGTATTTAGGGACTTCATTACCTTTGCTAGAAGCTGAGATTATTCATGACTGGCAGATTGACTAGGTTCTAAATTATGCACAAGACACGGATCGTCCCTCCCAGAGTTTTAATAGTTTTGTCCCCAAAGCAGAAATGATTGTGCGCCAGACAAGGAAGAAGAAACACGATTAATAGAAAGAGAAGTTCTCAGGGTTTTTTGTTTTTTTTTGTATATCATACTCAACCAGTTACAAAAGATTAGCTTTTTGACAGGGGAAAAAAGTAATTAAAAGCAGATGGTTTAAAATATTCTATAAGACCACAAAAGAAAAATGACTATAAAGTCAGAAAAGTTTTTTAAAATCTTCTTTGTAAATGCTGTTCTCTTAAATCAAACAGTCTAAGAGTTGCATAACAAAAAAGGATAGTTTTATTTAACCATATATTTCATTGTTGATATTTCTGGCTGTGCTTTTTTCAATAGACCTAAACACATTTCATTGTAATATGTATTTTCAATTAGAAAGAGTCTTGTTTGTTTTTACCATGCAGGGCAACATGTATGTGGACAAACTAACACAAGTATACATAAAATATTTGGAAATACTTGTAACTTTATTTCATGCTTTATTAAATCTAACCTTATAACAATTGTCTAACATTTATACAGTAACTGGGATCCCCTTGAATTGAACCATGGTTTACTTTATGATGGTTTACAAAAAGTCAGACAACTCACTCAGCCATAAGTATGGCAAGCTACAGATGAGTTAAACAAGATAATTATTTAGATCAAGTATATGCAGCCCATGCGGCATGCAGCTCTGAACAGCTAGTAACATGACCTCACAAGATCATAAACTTTTAATATTATGTGATTTTTAGAACTACTTACTATATTATATATTTTATATTCAGCCCATGACAATTCCTCTTAACTCAATGGAGGCCCAGGCAAGCCAAAAGTTTTGAAACACCTGATTTACAGTAATATGATTACTTACTCCAAGTAATATTTTGTTTCTATATAGAGAAACTACATATGTGTACACATATGTATCATATGTACATGAGAATTTATTAAATGCCAATTGCTTTGCCTCATCTCTTTACACAATTAATCTTTCAACATATATACAGTACCTAGCAACAAAATTTATTTATATTTTAGCTAATAATTTTTACAGCAAAAGGGAGGTATTTGTGGACATGAAGATTTTCAGTACTGTTAATACATGTCATTTCCATTATTGCTTTCTAACCATGAGTAAAAAAAATAATGAGGGAAATACTTGTGTGTTTTTCACTATATTATCATTTTAAAAACGTCATATTTCATTAAGTTGATAATGCTGTATATTAGGACATGCAAAGCCCTTAAATTGTACTCTTTCCTCCTCTTTTTTGGATCAGCATCAAATTTTGTATAAATATCCTAGGATAAATATGGCAAGTCAGGATTTGGGTTTTCTTTATTGTGAAAAATAATTAAAGAAGTATTAATTTAAAAGCCCTTAATAATTCGAGCACCTATCCATTCTAGAAATCTTTAAAACACTGTTAAAGAGAGCAGGACCCCTGAGTATTGCACACTGTTTCTATAATTGCTTAATTGCTAAATTTCACATCTAGGGTTAAATGGTGAAGTTTGGGGATACATTCCTGGTGAGGAAACTTGACTTTCCTCTTTTTGTCCCTAAGTCAATTCTTACAGTATCTTCTATAGCAGCAGTCCCAACCTTTTGGGCACCAGGGACCAGTTCTGTGGAGAAAGGCTTTTCCACAGATTGGAGGAGACATGGTTTCGTGTGCTGCCTACATCCCATGGATGGGGTATCGCTTGTTTGCATGGCCCAGTTTCTGGCATGCTGCGGCCCGTTGCTGGTCCACAGACTGGGGGTTGGGGACCCCTGTTCTATAGTATCTTCTAAATTGTATTTATATATTTGAATTTATTAGCTGCCCAACTCCAGTGGACTCTGGCAGCAAATCTCTCAACTAACAGTAAATAGGACAGGCTTTATGTTAGTTCAACAAGAGGTAGATGATGCTGTGAAGGTTTACATCACTAAGTAAGGAAATAACACACACACAATCTCAGCTTCTGGAATGTCATCCTCCTTGCCATATTAAGATTTTGCTTATCCCTTGATAGCAACAAAGGCAATCAGAAAATGCTAACATTTTGATGCCATTCAAAAAGGAATTTTTTTCAGTTCAGCTTTGATATGCTGTCATCCGCAAGTTGGTCTGTTAGTAACTGTTGTACTTTGAAGACTGAAACATATTAATTCACTTTGTCAAGCAGAAAAGATTGATGACTACAAGCTAATTGGCTGTGAAGCCTATTTGTACTGCAGTCGGGGCAGACACCAATTAACACTTGGCAGGTCCAAGAGTCCTATCCATAAAGCCGTTTAATATCTTCCACTCCACACAACTCTCAATTGCCTTTTATACTTTTTTATTTATCTTAAAATCAGGAGGGAAGTTAAACATCCAAGAGAGGAGATTAGCCTAAGAGAACTTCTGTGTAGATTCCTTCC